ATCAGCAAACTCTACCTGGAGGCTCGGAGGTGATCCGGGTTTTCCAGCAGTCTGAGCTGATGACCGATCCTTCCTCCTGCGGTGTGGCTGAATATTTCCGCAGCAGCAGCAGTTAGTCTCTCTCTGGTCGATTCTCTCTGAAGATTAACCGAAGATATTGTTACTGCAGACTCTTAAACATTCAGCTCACCCAGCAAAGCCGTTTTTTAACCACCGATAAACACAAAGAAGCCAGGAAGCTAATGCTGCTAGTTTAGTGTTGGTTACTTCCGCCGGAAGTGTCACATGAAGATCTACCCCAGAAACGGTCAAGTCATTTTACGTTCCGCCTCTAACTACAAACATTTATTTGTCTACAAATAATCTTTTTTGCTTGTTTTGACATATAAACTATATTTTCTAGAAGTTGAATTGAACTTTGTCCAAATAAAAATTAAAAACCTGAATTAGAAGCCCCCTTATATAAATTACATAATATATATTTGACATTTGTCAATAGACTTGCTTATAAATACTTAGAATGTTGACCTCACTAATGGTTTAGTTTTACAGCGTTTACATTGTTACCTGGAAACATTGACAGCTTAAAATCTGCAATTTGGATGATTGGAATGAACAGAGATGTATTGGTGAGACTTTAGGGCAGACTGAAATTTACAATCCCCCCGACCTAAGGTATTCTGTATCTGTATCGGCTCTCCTGTGTCTGCCTTGGCTGGGTATCTCCTGTCTCCTGGAAGATTTGTAAATACAACGCTCCCTCCCACTTCTCTCCCAAGGACTTGCTCTTAGATAGGACCATCATATCAGACTGTTGCCTGGGAGACTGAGCTCCACGGTTCATGGTCATACACAGCAAACCACCTTTCGTGTCTTTGTATTATCTGAATGTTGCTACATGTGCACACTTCCCTGATGTGTTTTTTTTCCTTGCTCTGACTAGTTTATTTGATTACTTTTAGAAATTGTGGAGAACTAACTTCTTTAGAACAATATTATATTTTTTAGATTATTATCCAGAGTAACTTTTTTTAGCTTATAAAATATGGAGTACTTTTACTTTTCTAGCAACCCAGAACAGGAGTAATAAAATGTTGTGACAAATCTGAAGAGATTAGTACTGAAACATTAGGATAATTCCTACTACAGCAGATTCTTTGTTCATCTTTCATTGGATGGTGGCTGAACCAGGAGCCCCACAGCTGAAGTATGTTAACATTTTGAAGATGCAAACAAGGACTGTTAGAACTGTTGGATGGTTTCTTCACATTTTGTCTTTATGGAAAGGTGAACACAGCATTAAGGCTACTATTGATGCACAACTTGAAACTGATGGACAAGGATTCTTGAAGCTACAATCAAGTCTAATGAGGAGCCCAGTTGTCCACACCCACCACACTTTTCAGAATAAACTTAAGGTGAAAACCTCAGACTACAACCTACTTTAGTTCAGCTTTCTTTCTTAAAAATACAAAACAAAAAATAGTTTACTAAAAAAGCGAAGTCACATCAAAGACACTGCTGTTGAACAATTTCATTCAGTGACCAGCTGGTTAACGGTAAATGTTAATTCTGAATGGGAAGTTTTCTGTCAATTATTTTTTCTGTCAATTATTTTCTTTATTCTAATCTAAAACTATCTGTATTTTCTGTTAACTCAGAAATAACTAATAGTACACAAAAAACAAAGTATGAAACAAGAAAGACCCATAATACATAGAAATCAGAAGTTGGCAGATTTCAAGAGTGCGACTGAATTTCTCAGTAGTGAACCTGGAAAAAAATTCAGGTCTCAATGATGAAACCACTTGTTAGGAGATAATTCGCCATCACCATCTTGTCTGTCTGGATCTGGAAGTCCCACAGGATCTTAGCTCGGTCATTCTCCACCACC